AAAGTTCATAATTGATAACAATGAAGTAATCAGAGCTATGAACTGAAGAATACACCATTTCCCAGCATGAAGATCAATCATTGGCCAATGAAATCGGCATAAATGTTTATAATAATGTGAGCTAAGATACAAATAGTATAGTTAATAAAAATCACACTGATCACTAACGAAAACTGTTGGAATAAGAAAAATACAAATGCATTCTAAAAAACGTTTTTCTGCGCGATTTGGTGCGTAATTTTGCTAATTATGATAACTGTGGCACAAAGCTTGGAACATGAACTTGACGTGCTCATTGGCCTTCCTTTCTCGTTTTCATGTTCCAAGCATTGCGCCACAATGAGCAGGTTCTGATAAAACAAGTACACATTTATTGTGCTTATAGGTTCTCTTGTGCTGAGAAGGCCGCTGCGTTGGTTGTGCTTCAGCGGCAGAGGCTTCTCAAAAAGGCTGTATTTTAGACAGCACTGGTTCTGCCTCAATAAGGTTTGCGAAAGAAAGGTTTTTGCTTCTGCTGCAGACGAGCACACATTCACGCTATCGTAAATAAATCCCGCCCAAAGTACACCGACGCTCTGTTGGCATGGCGACATCTCTTTTGCTGCACGTCGTATTGCTGAAGCACTTCCGCCTTTGAATGGGGCTGTTCTGACAATAGGGAAGCCGAAATAAGTCCCCATCTTGGGAATGCTTAGCTGTCTATCCCGGTTAACACGACTTCGCCGATTATGCATTCAGCAGCACCGCACGCTTTACCAAATGGGTCATTCTATGCTTGAGGGCAAACTTTTGCCACTCTTGCTGTGTCGCTGACCAGTGGTGCGTCTTTGCTTGTATACACACAAAAACAAAACAGATTTCTGACATGAAAAATACAGCAAGATACGCTTAGTATTGGAATACAACCGATTTATTGTAAGAGTGCTTCATTAGCGAGATCCAAATACATTTTTCAAACGTATCTTGGCACAGCATTACAGATACTACAAAGTATCTCTGAAACACTATCGCGATGCTTTTGTATCGGGATAAGGCTCAGCCTTGTACAATAGGAGGGACCCGCGCCGAAGAGGGGCGCTGTGGTGCAGGGCGCTGGCGATGAATGTGGAGAGGAATAACACGACTCGTCACCTCTCTGCTCTCCTCTTCACGCCACTTCGAGTTTGCGCTGCTTGGATGGATGGATGGATGGATTGATATAGCTGTACCCTTTAGATCGGGTGTTGGTTAGCGCCATCATGCCGTAGCACACTCTGCACGCCCTCTACGCGTGTTTTTGCGAGTTTTGCGTCTAGTGAGGAGTTCAATGAACATCCGCATTACTGAGGACTTTTTTCGCAGCTTCATTGTGGTGAAATCACTGCCTACTAAGCTTTGTATACGAGTTACCCAGCCGGCGATGGCAGATGACATCGTCCCTGTATGAACGAAGGGCTATTTGCATAACGAATATTTGGGCGCAAGTGATACAGAGGAAGAAAAGCGAGAGAGTGCAGGATATGGGGCCAGATTTGCCTTTATATACGGGAATGTACTGTTTCCCACAAGATGTGTTGTGTAGTGAACATTTGAAGGGTTAGATATTGTTTCTTCAGCAGACGATGGAAAAGAATGGCATGTCCGGTGTACGTGCTGTAGTCCATGCTGTTCTCGATTTTTATCGATGCTGTGCACATCAGTGTAAATGAACACGTAAACGCTCACGTATCTTGTTATTTTACGCGACGTAAGTTTACGGTGGAGGTGGTGGGTATCGATCCCTGTACCACTGGTCTCACGTTATTTTACGTAACAATACCTGCTAAAAGTTTGGCTACCCCGCATTTCGTAGCCTCTGTGCAGACAAAACATACCACCTGAACAACATAAATATGGCATATGTGTGCACGCGTGGCCGGGCCCACGGACCGCCTCGTGTTTCATTATCTGGCGCACGGGCCTGGGCCAAGGTCTTCTCATGTCCTGCCCGGAGATGGCCCAGGCTGGTTTTTTTTCAAGGGGTGGGCCAGGCCAGGTGCAAAGCTCGAACTGAGCACACCTTAGAACACTGATCGCCCAAGATCGTGAAGAGACGCACATGTGAATAAGACAACTCAAATCTTCGATATCAATATATTGCGCTAACTCATGAACAGCAGCCTGCCACGAAAAAAAGCGATGCTGATCATTTAGTGAGTAAACCTGCAGTGACAGGAAGAAAGGAAGGAAGGAAGGAAGGAAGAAAGGAAGGAAGGAAGGAAGGAAGGAAGGAAGGAAGGAAGAAAGGAAGGAAGGAAGGAAGAAACAGAAGAAAGAAGGCAGGGAGGTTAACATAAAGACATCCGGTTGGCTACCATACAATAGGGGATTAGGGAAGGGGACAAGTAAATCAGATAGAGAGAAGAGAAGAAAAAGAAAAAAAGAGAGACTGACAGTTATTTCAATGCATAGTGTAGAACTCCACCGCATCTCAGAGGCGTTCACACAAACCCACCTTTCTCAAGAAACACAGCAGGGCTTTCACTGCCTTGTGGGCTGTCGAGGGATGGGGATGTTGCTGTATTAGCACCTCCACAGAAAGAGGCCGATCATCCAGTCGCCGCATTGCGTTGGCAAGTATTTGTCTGTCTGAAGCAAATCGAGGACAGTGGCACAGCAGGTGCTAGATATTTCATCGGTGCCACAAACTTCGCATGCCGCACTGTCAGCCATTCCGATTAACGTTGTATGAGCTTTCGCGAAAGCCACTCCCAGCCAAAGGCGACAGTGACAGGAATTTACCAATTATACAAGGCCAGTTTTGCTGCTCTCTATTCATGTAATGATGCTCCTGTTATGCATAGGATGTGCTATACTTCTGGAATAACTAGCAATCTAAATATCCGAAGCTTACTATGCTTCCATTCTGGCAACTTCGGCTTCCAGCGCAAGGAGCCAATGGAACTTCTCCTCGTCGAGCTTTTGGAAGCAGGAGCCCTTCACTGAAGCTCCACTCAGTAGAGAGAGTTTTAGTTATTACAGAACTTATAGTTGGTGTAGGTAGTAAATGTCATGTGTCCTTTGCTTCTGTTCCACTTGGGTATGTTGGCTAAAATGTTGCGTTATTGGAAAACAATAAACTCTCTGCTCAGTAAGCCTGTACATTGTCAGAACTGGGCCGGGCGTTTGTTTTCGTACGTTGGGTTGGGTCGGGTGGGATTGCAGCTTTTTAGCGTCGGGCTCAGGTACGCCTGCAATGCCGTTGGACTGCTCAGGCCTGGATCTGGCTTGAAATAGCGACCCGTGAGTAGCTCGAATTGGCACCGCGGCCTCCTTAAGAACTAATACAAGGATGAAAATTCTAAATATACTGATATTCCACGGTTATGTTTGAAGTGTGGCAGTTTGGGCTAGTTGGTATGACATGACGATAGTTATAGCGCGAGAACAGAACGACGATCTTCTTTTCTATTCGTCGTCGTTCTGTTCTCGTGCTATAACTATCGTCATGTTTGAAGTCATGGAGACCACATCGGGTGGCTTGAGAAGAAATTGCTGGGAACCAGTCCAGTGTCTGTATAGCTTACTGGTACAAGACTATAATAATCGAATCAAGGGAGACATGTGCGAGTAATAATTAGCAAACGGACAAAACTTTTTACTTGTGAATCCATGCGTCGCTAACGAGAAGTGTTCGAGAAATTCTGCGACAAAGTCACGCATCTGCACTACGAAAATGATAACGAGTGGTCGAAACAAGGTTCGAAGATCCATATTGTTCAGGTTGAAGTCGTCCACTGGTATAAATGAAAGATAGGCGTACAGAACGACCGAGCCACGTCCGGACGCATGGACAGACGGAGGGATGGACGTATGCACGTGCAGATGGACAGCAGATGGCGCAAGTGATCATATATTGTGCTGTCACATACTTGACTGATGTACACATGAATTTGTTTTAAATGCAGAACATTTTATAGTCGCACCTACTCGCAAATCCGGCATCGGCGGTGTTGTCGCGACGCCCCCACAGCGCATGCTCCAGTCTCATGCTGTCATCCCCCCTCTCTTTCTCTCTCTTGCCTCGCAAGGCTGACGCAGGCAGCGTCTGCTAGTAAACACCGCCTGCTCGCGCTGCACAACCGTTCACTGGCCACCCCGTATGTGTAGCAACTAGATCGCGCGTTCGGAATTCAGTAAAGGGCGTATTCACTTGGCTTTCGCTTGGCTTGACGCCTTTCTTGACTCGAGAAGATGCGACGGAAGCAACAGTAGATTCAACCGATATTGGGGCGGGACTCAACATCAGCGTCCCAGCACTCGTTGAAGAAAACGCTTCTCCTTCACTCAATAAATAAGAATAATAAAGAGAAAACAACGAATAAGCATTCCCAAACTAAATCCAATCACGCGGAATTCACGCAATACCTTCACCACTCTGCGACGCACTTACTTGTGTTCCCCCCGTGGGAACATCAGGGTGGATTTTTTAAATATTTTTACTGTTCCCTTTCGCTTTTGGTTTCGCGGAGCGTGATTAACACCAACAAGGCGACGGTCCTGAAGAGTATCACCCCTAAAAGGCAAGACTGGTGTTTCACACCCCTTCCACATGTTTTAGAGCTCGATTTTAAAAAGCCATGCTATCCTGTGTAGCGTGCCTCGATATCGATTACTATGACACTAACCTGGGAATCGTGGCTTTCGGGGGTCGAAATCCCGCCTCGCCAAAACATTTTTTACACCACGAGTTTCTCTATTTTTTTCGTGTTCCTTTCTTTTAGTCTTTCTTCCTGTACCCATTCTCTCACTATCTGATTGACTGCATCCCAACACCGGACAAATCGACACACGTGGTCTGTGAGTGCAGCAGAGGAAGGAGGAGAGTACGACGATCAATAAGAGGACGCACAAAGCTCGTGCTGGTTCATGATTATAACTTCCTATCCAAGACGCGTGCCAGTCCTCGTGCACAACAACAATGTTGCAAGAAATTTCGCCGTGTCTGCTTCTTCCCGGATGTCTTGCTATCATATCTTTAACACACCAGGAAGTCGCATATTGGGTGGACTACGCGCTGTCTCGAAGACGTAGTTTCTCCTTGCTGCATACTTGGCATTCGCGCAAGTAGTTACTTTGTGTCGTGGTGCGAAATTCGCACCAGTGTGGTGAATGAAAAAAAAAAAAGAAACCCGTGAGCTATGAGTGCTTTTGAATCAGTGCCGATCTCCGAAATAATGTGAACGTAAAAAGGGTGCTTTTACAGGCCAGCAAAATATCCCTACTTCAGTTCGTCATCACGATCGACAACTCAATCGAGTGAAGGGTGCGGACAAGGAGATACGGTCATAAACATCACCAGACACAACGCGACTTTGTGCCTTTGACTGCATCTGTACTGCGTGCCTTAGATGTTGAAATTCCTTCGAGATCTCTCACTTTTTTTTCCTACATCAACTCGGGGCAACATGCTCCCTTCTTGGAGAACCCAAGTTGCAATGGCTTCAGCATAAATCAAGAACATGGGATCATCTGTGATGTGGGCCAGCCTCCTTCGGCATACGACTGCCGTTCTTTCCTTGGTGGTTACGGCAACCATCTCTGAAGCGTGGTGGTGGGAGAAAATCAACGCCACGTGCCCTAGATTGGATCACTGTGTCTGTGAGAACGGGACGTATGCTGTCTTCATTCAGTGCCGGCACATCGCCGATGCCCATCAACTAGACGGGGACATGGCAAAACTGTTGGGAATACCACACAAGAAGCTTACCTTGGAAAGTGTTAATATTACTGATCTGCCACTTGAATGGTTTTTGAACAAAAAGGTGAATATCCTGTACATCTTTCAATGTCCTCTACGTAACATGTCTGCTTCGGTGATAGAAAATATACAAGGCTTGAGGAAACTACGCATGAAGAAAGGAAAGTTGGAGAGTGTCCCGCCAGGCCTTGCAGCGGCTAGACACTTGAGCATCTTGAGAGTGTCCGAGAACCCGATCAAGGTACTGCGGGGAGCCCTCAGCATGCCCAATTTATTAGAGCTGGACCTCAGCCACAATGCAATCGAGAATGTGGACGAGGAGTACCTGTCGGCTTTTCCCAACCTGATACGTTTGAATTTGTCCCGCAACAATATCAGCCACCTGGCGCCAAATATTCTTGACAAAATTAAGAAGGTGAAGTACATCCAGCTTCGTAACAACAGCCTCGATACGATAGAAGACCAATTTCACGAACTTCTCTCTTTAGAGGTGAGAAATATTTTCATGAATTGAATGATGAATTAATATGTGAGGTTTAGCGTCCCGAAACCACCATATGACTATGAGAGACACCGTAGTGGAGGGCTCCGGAAATTTTGACCACCTGGGGCTGTTTAACGTGTGCCTAAATATGAGCACACGGGCCTACAGCATTTCCGCCTCCATCGGAAATGCAGCCGCCGCAGCCGGGATTCGATCCCACGACCTGCAGGTCAGCAGCCAAATACCTTAGCAACTAGACCACCGGAGCGGAGCAATATTTTTATGAAGCATGGGATAATTATCAGCTTCATTACTTGGTGATGGCATGTTGCTATTTCAAATGTTTGGTCCTAGAGGCAGTTACAGCAAGCTAATCCTCAATGGCGCGTGCAGAAATATTTTTTTTAATACTCGCGTTGAATGAATGTTCTAATGAACCTTATACTCATTTCTTTATGGAGCCGTGAGTGCACGCATACTTTGAAGCCCCGTTCATGGAAATAAACGAATGCTTAGTTCTTTATATGCACTTCCTATTTTACTTCATAATTATGTCTACCTGCATATATGTTGTTTACATCCAAGTTACGATTGTTCATTGCAGCGCATTGTCATGAAATGAATTTACGGTATCTGCCGTGAAAGTTTCTTAAGATTTTAATTTGGCACGGGAGTTAGTTGTTTCCTTATAAAAGATTAGCCCTTGTGCGAGATGGAACCCAATGCTAACCGACTGCAAGAACACTTCTAGGGCAACGTTGAATTAGTTTCGTTCACGTGTACTTCAAGAGTGCAACATGATTTAGGGGATATATTTACGTTTCCTTCGCCTGAGAATGTACACATATCCAAAATATAAAATTTGTCGATATTTTTTTCTTTCCATAAAGAATAGGTTAAGCACAGTATGCATGTTAGGTGAATATTGAATAGTAGCTGAAGCAAAAAAAGTGTCATGCTGTCCTACGACATTACACGGGGAGACCTCTTTTCCTGTTAAGACGTGGATGTATTTGTATATCATGTAGTGCCTGTGTAAACACGCTATTTAAAAAAAGCGCTATTTCATGTCGGATTTCACATATTCTCTTGTATAGGCGTGGCACACACTATATTAATGAAACCCACGTTCATGTTAGGAATAACGGCATAGATCACTAATCGCAGTCCTTATTTTTGTTTCAGCACCTCGACCTAAGTGCGAACCATATTACCAGCGTCAACACTCTGCTGAAGTCCAAAATGACGTCCTTAGAAAAACTTTGGCTCGAAGACAACAAAATAAGGACCATAAACAGATTTTCCCATTATAATACTAACATTAAAGAACTCCGCTTAAAGAACAACGTGATTACTGAGGTAGAGCTTGAAGCTTTCGTGTCATTGAAAAACTTGTTACGCCTAGACCTGAGACAGAACAAAATTTCAGCTTTAAACGAGGCTGTTTTCGGAGTGGACTCTAAACTCGATCTTCTGGACATTGTCAAATAACGCATTGATTTCTATATCAGGGACATTCAACAGGACACGTCGAATCACCCATTTGAAGCTATCCGTTAACCTTATCAGAAATATCACAGGTGCATTTACCGGTCTCAGGGACCTCAAAATTCTCTCACTGACTGGGAACTTTCTCGAATACATCGAGGATAGCGCTTTTAGCGACAACCTCGGCCTCGCGCACATCAGTGTGGCGGAAAACAAAATTCAATGGATTGGCAGAAACGCCTTCAAGGGCTTAGTAAGCCTGAGAAGCTTGCGTCTCGAACGTAACCAGCTCCATTCACTTAACGGCTCCATCAAAAATCTGCCTAAGTTAAGATATGTGGAAGCATCCGGCAATTCCATACGGTTCTTGCAAATCGACGAATTCGAGAATGATTCCGGTCTAAAGTCTGTCTATTTGTCAGGAAACAACATCAGCAATACTCAGGGGGCGTTCACAGCTGTGGCGGCGTTGATGACACTGGACGTCGGGCATAATCGGCTGGAGACCATGCGCCGAAGAGACTTCCCTCGCTGGATGAAACACAAGCTCATCCTAATATCCGCGGTACGTCTTGCTGTGACACGAATGACTGTTGTTCGTAGTATTCATCAGGCTCATAAAGACTTGGGATTCCTGTCAAACACATCTTTCCTGAAGGTAACGTCAAAAGGTTCAGGAAATTTTATTTATTGAAATAAATGTTACAAGTGTTTAAAAATATTCAACAGCCTCCTTTGTTCCGCCAGTCAACTTGGTCCTGTGCTTGCTGCTGCCACTTTATAGCCGCAAACTTCATAATCTCATCTGTGTTTAAAAATATTCAACAGCCTCCTTTGTTCCGCCAGTCAACTCGGTCCTGTGCTTGCTGCTGCCACTTTATAGCCGCAAACTTCATAATCTCATCTGTCCACCCAACTTTCTGTCTCTTCCTGACCCGCTTGCCTTCTCTGGGAATCCAGCCAGTTACACTTGATCACCAGTGGTTATCCAGCCTACGTGCTACATGCCCGGCCCATGCTTATTTCTTCTTCTTGGTTTTAGCTGTGATTATCCTTAACCTCGGTGTCATCATTGATCCACTCATGGGAGAGCCCGTTGTCCTGCAGTGGACGTTGTTAGACTGATGATGATGACGAAATATCTCCTTTAGCCCCGATACATGGTCTGCAGTGAAACTTCCAGCTCTTGAATGCCTTACGGCGGTGGTCCTACGGAAAGGCCTTTAATGTTTGCTGTGCAAGCTGCTTTAATCCCGTCCACTGTCCCAAAGGCTTGCCTTTCAGGGGTTTTTTGAGGCGTGGAAATAGAAGAAAAGTTGGGGAGAGCCAGTCCGGACTTTATGAGGGCTCGGGGATTGTTGGCACCCTGATCAGATAAACGGTGACTGTTTCGTCTTTAACCAGGTAATCGGTGACAATGAACACACTGCGGCATGGTACATTATCATGGTACAAAATCCAGTTGTCGGCGATGTCTAGTCCGATGCGTTGAACCCAGCATTTCAGTTGATGACTTCCATAGAATGTTTTTGTAGTGTATAACACGTAGGCCTTTAAACGAGCATTGTCAGCTTGAATTCTACAGTAGCTTCACTCGCGTCACTTCGTCAGCCAAGATGGTCGTGGATGGATGTCTGGTGTGGTCCTCGTCTTCGACCTCTTCCCGGCCTTCCGAAAGTATCTTAGCAGAACAAAACACTCGCCGATCTGACAGGACATGCTCTTTGTTTGCAGTCTTGATCATAGCAACAGCTTATGCAGTGGTCTTGTCAAGTTTCACGAAAGACTTGATCTCAAATCTTTGGTCTAACAAGCGCTCCATGTTCACTTGCAGAAGAATGAAAAAAAAAGCACTCATGATGGACAGGATCATGTTGCACTTTTCGATTGCTCACGACACAGTCATCCACGGAGCGCTGCTAACAAGGCCCCTCCCCCTCCCCCCCTATTATTTCTGACAGGTTAGAGCGCGTTACTGCCTACAGATGTGGAAAACAAATTTCACTCACGTCCTCTTCCCGCCTATCTTTTTTAACCGGTCAGAGGGCGCTCCTGCATACAGTTGCGGGAAACTAAATTCACTGATGTCCCCCCCCCCTACCATTTTTAATCGGTTAGAGCACGTTCCTGCATACAATTGCGGGAAACTAAATTCACTGACGTCCCCCCCCTACCATTGTAACCGGTTGGAGCCCGTTCCTGCGTACAGTTGCGGGAAACGAAATTCACTGACGTCCCCCGTACTATTGTAACCGGTTAGAGTGCGTTCCTGCATACAGTTGCGGGAAACGAAATTCACTGACGTCCCCCCCCCCTACCATTGTAACTGGTTAGAGCACGTTCCTGCGTACAGTTGCGGGAAATGAAATTCACTGACGTCCCCCCCCTACCATTGGAACCGGTTAGAGTGCGTTCCTGCATACAGTTGCGGGAAACGAAATTCACTGACGTCCCCCACCCTCTTTACTACCATTTTAACTGGTTAGTGTGCGTACCTGCGTACAGTTGCAGGTAACGAAATTCACTGACGCCCCCCCCTTTCCTACCATTTTAACTGGTTAGAGTGCGTTCCTTCATAGAGTTGCGGAAACGAAATTCACTGACGTCCCCCTCCCCCTACCATTGGAACCAGTTAGAGCACGTTCCTGCGTACAGTTGTGGGAAACGAAATCCACTGACGCCCCCCCTCCTACAATTGTAACCGGTTAGAGCACGTTCCTGCGTACAGTTGTGGAAAACGAAATTCACTGACGTCCCCCCCTACCATTGTAACCGGTTAGAGCACGTTCCTGCGTACAGTTGCGGGAAATGAAATTCCCTGACGTCCCCCCCCCGTACCATTGTAACCGGTTAGAGCACGTTCCTGCGTACAGTTACGGGAAATGAAATTCACTGACGTCTCCCTCTTTCCTACCATTTTAACTCGTTAGAGCGCGTTCCTTCATAGAGTTGTGGAAACGAAATTCACTGACGTCCCCCCTACCATTGGAACCGGTTAGAGCACGTTCCTGCGTACAGTTGTGGGAAATGAAATTCACTGACGTCCCCCCCCCTTTTCCTACCATTTTAACTGGTTAGAGCGCGTCCCTGCGTACAGTTGCGGGAAACGAAATTCAGTGACGCCCTCCCCCTACCATTGTAACCAGTTAGAGCACGTTCCTGCGTACAGTTGTGGAAAACGAAGTTCACTGACGTCCCCCCCTACCATTGTAACAGGTTAGAGCACGTTCCTGCGTACAGTTGCGGGAAATGAAATTCACTGACGTCCCCCCCCCTACCATTGGAACCGGTTAGAGCACGTTCCTGCGTACAGTTGTGGGAAATGAAATTCACTGACATCCCCCCCCCCTTTTCCTACCATTTTAACTGGTTAGAGCGCGTCCCTGCGTACAGTTGCGGGAAACGAAATTCAGTGACGCCCCCCCCCTACCATTGTAACCGGCTAGAGCACATTCCTGCGTACAGTTGTGGAAAACGAAATTCACTGACGTCCCCTCCCCCCTACCATTGTAACCGGTTAGAGCACGTTCCTACGTACAGTTGCGGGAAATGAAATTCACTGACGTCCCCCCCGTACCATTGTAACCGGTTAGAGCACGTTCCTGCGTACAGTTACGGGAAATGAAATTCACTGACGTCCCCCCCCCCTTTTCCTACCATTTTAACTGGTTAGAGCGCGTCCCTGCGTACAGTTGCGGGAAACGAAATTCAGTGACGCCCCCCCCTACCATTGTAACCGGCTAGAGCACATTCCTGCGTACAGTTGTGGAAAACGAAATTCACTGACGTCCCCTCCCCCCTACCATTGTAACCGGTTAGAGCACGTTCCTACGTACAGTTGCGGGAAATGAAATTCACTGACGTCCCCCCCGTACCATTGTAACCGGTTAGAGCACGTTCCTGCGTACAGTTACGGGAAATGAAATTCACTGACGTCCCCCTCTTTCCTACCATTTTAACTCGTTAGAGCGCGTTCCTTCATAGAGTTGCGGAAACGAAATTCACTGACGTCCCCCCTACCATTGGAACCGGTTAGAGCACGTTCCTGCGTACAGTTGCGGGAAACGAAATTCAGTGACGCCCCCCCCCCCTACCATTGTAACCGGCTAGAGTACGTTCCTGCGTACAGTTGCGGGAAATGAAATTCACTGACGTCCCCCCCTACCATTGTAACCGGTTAGAGTGCGTTCCTGCATATAGTTGCGGGAAACGAAATTCGCTGACGTCCCACCCCTACCATTTTTAATCAGTTTGAGCGCGTTCCTGCAAACAGTTGCGGGAAACGAAATTCACTGATGCCCCCCCTCTTAACATTTGTAATCGGTGAGAGCGCGTTCCTGCATACAGTTGTGGGACACTAAATTCACTGACTTCTCCCCTACCATTTTTAATCAGTTAAAGCGCGTTCCTGCATATAGTTGCGGGAAACTAAATTCACTGACGTCCCCCCCCCCCCCCCCTACCATTTTTAATCAGTTAGAGCGCGTACCTGGATAGAGTTGCGGGAAACGAAATTCAACGACGTCCCCACTCTACCATTGTAACCGGGTAGAGCGCACTCCTGCGTACAGTTGTGCGAAACGAAATTCACTGACGTCCCCCCTCCTACCATTTTTAATTGGTTAGAGCACGTTCCCGCGTACAGTTGCGGGAAACGAAATTCACTCACGTTACTTTCAGGACGGATCCTGTAGGTTTAGCAATAAGGTGGGAAGCTGATGCCACTACACTTTCGCTCCAGTGCATCAGTGTCACAGTTCTAGACAACTTGGGGTAGGGTTTTACACGCGTCTGTCCACCTCCTTTATCGGCGCTTGTGGTATTGATGCGTGAGAAAACGTGTCTAGCGACACTTTATTTGTACGAAATTTCTATGCGCACAATACATGGGGCCTTAGGTGTACACATTGTCATTTTTCTGCACTTTGGATGTACATAGATGCAAACAACAAACCTACACACGACACGCACGCACCAGTTTCAGTTTCAGTTATTTTGGAACACGATTACCTACCACTCAGTAAACGTTGTTGTTGTTGTTCACCTATTGATAGTGGCGCATACCCACTATGGGGGATTGGTCAAGAATCGAGTGCTTTTAAAAATTACTGTTCAGATTTGGAATAATGGAGGTATAACAGAAAGATTACCGATAGCCCAGGAAAGTGTGTTGCTTAATGTAATGCATACAAATATTTACATAAACGAGTTTGTTCTTGGAACAGAGCAATATTCTGATTTTATACGTATAAAATTATGTGGACATGTTAGAATAATGAAACTGGTTAATTAGTCCACCTATTAGTTTCATCAATATAGTCCCGGACGGCCGCGCATACTGTCGCATTAGAGAAACCAGAAATGAAAGCTCCAAAAGACAAAATGACGTGCACAGATAAGTCCATACCAATACCACCTAAATGTATTTCTAAACGGGATTTTCGTAATTTGTAAAACCACCTGCAGCTCAAAAAGAAATGAGCTGTTGTTTCCAGTTCATTACAGAACGCGCACAGTGGCGAAGGTGCCTGAGCAGACCTGTGTTTATAGAAATTTAGATTTGGTACCCGACAACGGAGCCTTGTGATTACTACTTCTTGTTTACGAGTGCGGCAAAAGTCTCTTTGCCAGGGATATAATAAATGGTGATATTCTGTAGAGTTTAAACGTCTGCCCACGGGTTGTTAATTTCTTTTCTATCAAACAAAGATATAGGTATGAAAAAAAAATGCATGCAGTTTGCAAAACTTTATTCTCGTCGTCCCACGAGTGAAATACATAACATTATGACTAGAATTTCACTTTCATTGCTAGAAATCGCTGTCCATAAAAGGGAAAATTAGATGCAAGTACGAAAAAACAATACCATCGATAAATGCGAATTGCTTAGTTCAGCCACTCAGACGTCTCTCTAGTGATTCCCGAAGACCGATAGGACAACTTTTGTTTACCCTACTTTCTTTCCAAGAGAATATGAATTGAAACAGTTCTGCCTGAGAAGTGAGTGCACGTTATACCAACCAATATTTTATTACCTGCACCTCAACCTTTTCATATGTACTTTTGTGGCTCACTTTGAAGTATGGGTAAATGACACTCCGGGATGACAACGGCTCAAGTGTTGATTGTCCCCTAGCTGTTGGTTGGTTTGCTTAAGAAGACGTGCCCCCGAACGTGGAGGCAGGTAGCGAATATACTAATTAAAAATGTTCTTCACCGCTATCTCTGTGCCGATCCCGCGGTTACTCTCTTGGTAACATTGGTTCTTGCATTTTGTGAACGAATTGGGGAGCCCGCACACAAGGCGATGCCCTTGTGCCGATATGCAAGGGAAAATGTACTTCAATTCTCATAGAATGTGGATCCCTCCCGTTCGGCACCTGATAATTCAAGAAAAGATGTACCATAGCAAAGTGTATAAGAGAAAACACAATACCGAGTTTATCAACTTCTGCTTCAAGGTCATTATAAAAGTGCTGGCTTTCTAGACGTGAATAATGAACGGTTCCATAAAGACAGTCAAGATGTGGGCTACCAGAAAATGTAATAGGCACTTGGACTGCCACTTATTAGGTCCAGTGTCCTAAAATTAAGGAATGAGATAAATGCAGCATAGGCAAAATGTCCAACGGAGGACTTAATTTTATTCTGAATATATCCTTTCTCTTCTAGATAATCCCCTGATGTGTGACTGCAGGCTCTCGTGGCTTATGCAGCGCGAAAGTGCTGTCCATATGCTAGGAAACGCTGTGTGTTCCAGCCCATCTTGGCACAAAGGGAAGGAACTTTTCACGATAGCAGAGCATGATTTCGCACGGTGGGACGATGACTGCTCCGCGGGCTGTCTTTGCGAGTGCCACGAAGGACCTTTGGGAGCCCGTGATATACATGTGAACTGCGCTTCGAGAAGGCTGACGTCCGTTCCCACTGTGCTTCCTCAGGGTACCGTGCTCCTGGATTTGCGAGACAACGAAATCAGTACGCTGGACGACACTCTAAAGGCTGTCGCACCTGAGCTTCAATTCCTTTCTCTCAAAGACAATATGCTGCAGAACTTGAACGTCACATCTATACCAGTGAAGTTACAAGATATTGATTTGAGTGGCAATGATTTTAAGCGCCTGCCTTATTCACTGCTGACAGAGCGCAACTTGACAGCCATATGGCTCTCTGGCAATCCTTTTGTCTGCGACTGTGCCGACTACCCGCTGATGCGATGGATTCAAGTCCACGTTGACGTGGTAAGCCTCCATATTATACGTAAGAAAAATGGCTGTAGGGCATCATTTGTGCTGTACTCCGAAGTAAGGGTAATGAGATGAATTCACTTCTCGATGGATCACTTATTTACAAAACATGTTGCGCCTTCTTTGCTGCAGCCGCTGATATCAATGGAGGTGTGTACTCGCAGAAGTGAGTGCTATTAGGAGTTCAGCTTTGTTTGAGTTAGAGGCTGTAGATCATGGCAGAGTGATCTTTTATTGGTATAATTTGACGATATTGCTGCACAATTAGGGCAAATATACTTTACAGCTCTCGTATGAGCTGAGCATACAACAAACGCACGCAGTAGGACACGAAAAAGGACAAAACGCACATATGTCAAACAGCACCATCTTAATGTTAAAGAAAATGTCGGAAGTGTATGGAGTCCTTATGGATATGAATCCTCAAAGTAGGCAACACAACATTAAACAAATTATAGTCACTAAGGGTTACGTGTAGCGTTGGACGTACATGTGATAAGGGCCCTTTAAGGAGGGCTAACATAATACCTTAGTAATTTCGCGTAATACCAGTCTCTTCAGGAAGGATTTTAGGCACCTTTAAAGCTTACATCTTTAAGGCTCTTGTTTACCATCATGGGCTAAGAAATGTGGTTACGTAAACTACCTGTGGTTCTATGGCGCTAGTTGTAATTCTGTTGGAGAATGTTGGAAAATTATATTGGAGAATGTTTTGTTGGAGAATTGAGGGCTGGAAACATAACCTCTTTTAGTATATCAGATTGGTTTCCAAAGAAGTTACCTTGATGAGTGATTTTCTATGCACTGCCTTGCAATAATCCACGAATATATGCTAGCTACATACCATGAGTGTCATACATGATGGAATGCAATCATCTCTCCTTCTTATTCGGTTTTTACGTCTCTGGACTAGATCAAAGACATCCATGACGTAGTTTGTGCTGACGGCAGCAATCCATTGATTGCGCGAAAATTATTTATGTCTTTGGGGGAAAAAGACCTTTGCCCAGAAACGGTATCAAGAACAACCACGTATCTACTTACGGTCTTAGGTACGTAAAATGCATGTCTCTTCACCTTGTTGTAAAAAAAGGAAAGGAGATAGCCTAACGATGTTGTCGACGGTGCGCCGATGTGGTCGTATTCTTGTGTGTTCATATCAGGTGCCAAAGAAAACATCTGTCGAAATGTTTAGGAACAAGCGATAGGTTCACGTGAAGTCTGCTCTCAGAGTTGCCTGCAGTGATGCGTAGGCGTTTGCTATATACTGAACACCAGCTGTTTCGACATCGCATGTTGTGTTAAGACGACTAGCAGTGGGCTCCTTACTTTTTAACGTATCCGCGATCATGCTCCTTAATTACACGCGCGTTTGGAGCCGACGGCTTTCCTACGACATCCTTAAGGGGCTCCATCTGCGCACCGTTTTTCCCATTCTTTCTTGTCTTCATGTGGATGTTGCAGCTGTTCTGTTGGTGAACCACAACCACATGGCTCAGACGCATTCACGTTCTGCATGGCATGGAGGCATGGCGAACTGAACTTCAATATGTAATGCCAAACGAGACGTGTTGTATCGTCCGCTGGGCTTCCAGGGACCACACGGATATTTGCTGTGCAGGTTGCGGTTACTTCAGTAGAGTGAGCAGTGATGCGCTCATTTGTGTTACTACAAATGCTCCAATGTTGTTCGGGCAACTACCTGCCGTTGCCTAAGCTCGCAAAGGGTGTTGTATATTTTGCTTTACTTCTATTTAGCACTTTAGTAGAAACGTGTACGTCAACAAAAAAAAATAAAAAAGTTTACGCAGTGACTATGACACCCGGTCAATCAGTGTGGGACGGTACGTTCGAAACATACGATCGCCAATGTATATGTCCAAACACCGCCAATACATTGATGTGTGTTAGCCTGAGCTTCAAGCGTTTCTCTCATGAAGCTGATATTTGTACTTTCAAAGGTGGAGTTGCCTTCATGAAATAACCTGAGTGCTTATTTCTTTCAAATGCTGATTGTCCTTTGAGATTTTTTTGCAATGAATGTTTCCACTTTTGTATATTTTTGCTCGAAATGTGTTCACTGCATCTGCGTGACGCTGGCTAACAGGCTGGGAAGCTCAGCCAAGATCTCCTGCTGTTTTTATACATGCTCTTTGCTCTGTAGAGTAGCAAATGAATGAAATTCAATGCGCGTCATCTTCGATTGATTGCGTTTTGTATACTGACTTCTGTTCAGTGATTATTCTGACATACTGACTCCAGTCATTGAGGGGTCATTTATTTTTTAGGTGGCGTGCTCAGGCTTTCGCAGTTAATAACCACGCATTTGCGTTACAGTCGTTGCCATCTAAAATACAAAACGCGCCTTGCTTTCTCAAAATAGGAGTTACGAATGTATTTTATGGACGCATGCAGTTTCTCCTTTTCCAACGGCTTAACCTATCAAGCCGACGTGTGCATTCGTGCAATACTGTTAACGGTGTTTCACAATTAAGCTATGCCGCCGTATTTGAAACTTATCTTTCTCCCTACCACTGCCTCTTTTTAGGGTTGGTAGCTGTAACATTAACACTCTTGTCGATCTACCTGCGCTGGAAGCACAACATCAGGACGTGGCTTGATGCGCGAGGCTGGGGCTGCTTGACGCGCATCACATCAGATGACGAGCTGGATGACGATAAGCTGTTCGACGTGTTCATCTCATTCAGCAGCAAGGATCAAGACTTTATTCACGACAACATTCTTCCCATTATGGACACTCACGGATTTGCATACTGCACGTACGAGCGCAACTTCAAGGGAGGCTTCCTCCTGCAAGACATAATTCATGACGCCGTCGCATGCTCCAGGAGAACGCTGCTCGTACTTACACAGTGAGTAGTTACTTAATAATCTTCCGGGATGAGTGGATTAAGAATAAGAAAAACTGAGACTCTAAAGTAATGGGTTTCCTTCAGCGATAGTTAATCTGCTTCGATTTGCTAAGTGTTAGAAAAAAAAGAGAGCCTTCGCTACTAGTAAGTGGTACGCAGAGGACGATGTTTACGTGGCAACAGTAACTCATGTTTTGTGATAGGGAAGTATACAAGAATATTGGACGTGAACAATATATTAGAGGTGAAATGATAGGTTTCAGAAATTGTAATTCTGATGTGGTCATACCTTTAAAAAATAATTTCAGATGAAGCAAAGGATTATTCGAAACAGGGAAGGTAAACTTTGTGTCAACAAGTAACAGCACAATTAGAACTTGTTGGGTGACTGTGAGCGAACGTTCACTCATGCACTGCATGAGTGAAGCCAGTTCGTCAAAAACAAACACCATTTACTTTTTCTGTCAGTTGTGAACTGGCTTCTGGCGACTTGGTGACCATTCCTGCTTCGACTAAGTTCAGTTGGGCGCAAGCACACATGAACGCACACAGTTATAAAAACCACGCCCTCTCGGCAGCAAGGCTGCACACATTAGCTAGTACCTTTGTGCGTATGTTCAAGCCTATCAAAATACGCCATAATTGCGTTACCCATGTGAGCATCTTAGTAGTCGTCGAAAAAGGATCAACACTGCGATTTATTGCAGTTACAGCTTCAATGCATTCTAACCCTGCTGTTTTATATACAAATCGTGGACTGATTGATTGACTGATTGATTGATTGATTGATATGTGCGATTTGACGTCCCAAAATTGCCATATTATTATGAGAGGCGCCGTAGTGGAGGGCTCTTGAAATTTCGACCACCTTGGGTTATTCAACGTGCGCCCAAATCTGAGAACATGAGCCATATGCAAGTCGTAAGTATACGGGATTTTAATCAGAAAATGTTACATCTAATGTGGGTGTGCCACTTCCAGGCGTCACATAAGGGGCTGGCCTGAAATAAAGTTAGCTTCATGACACTCACTTGACTATTTTTAGAGTCATGAATATCGTTTAACTGATTCCTTCTATAGTGTTTCTGTGCGAACTTATTATACAATTGAGAGTTTGCACTGCATTTACACTTGGCAGATTTCGTTTACCATGCTGTGTGAATAAAATATTTTCCGTTCATCGCAATGGTTTTAGGTTATGCATGAAGAGGGATTATGTCGGGGCTACGAGAAACGTAAAATGAAACAGCCCACACTAGTTTGCGGATCCGAAGGGAAGTTTGTAGCATATCCAGCAAATAATTTACACTGCTATTTCGTAGGACAAACCCTCCTTTCTTTAAATGACAGTCTGAGAGCACCAAATGAAATATAAAGAATGACCTTAAAGGCTTGCTGTCATACATATGAGATCGGCTCAGTGAAGACTTTTTTATGGCATGTTTGGTCTGGACATTACAAGAGAAATCCGTAACATGAAGCCATTTTTTTACCTCACACTCGTGTTTGGTTTTGGGGCTTTTCCTTCTCAGGGATCATAGTTGAGAACTTCTTCAGAATTTCAACATGCTGTGTCTCGGCCACAGCAAGAACATTTGCTAATGCTTTGGTATAAAACTGTGTAAATGATTTCATTTATTTATTTGTTTATTTACCTATTCATTACAATTGTGTAGGTCATCAGCAATTTGCCTTTTTTTTGTTAAAAAGGCATCCACTATTACCGAATTTGAATCACTGTGCGCTAACTGCAGGCCATCTTGGAGTGTTATATGTGTGTTTCTACGCACTGTTGTCGTGTACTAAACGTACGTCAAGTGCTGCTGTTATTATAGCATGTTTCGGCAGTCCGTGTTTCATTTAATGCTCTTAATTGCAGTCTGAAATATGTACAGTCAAGAAATACTGACCAAGTTACCAGAGGCGCTAACAGAGTACACGCTTAAAATCGATACTACACAACTCTTCATGAATATTATCTTGTTCGTGTTTTCGTCATGCAACCATAATAACTGAGGTCAAATTATGCCCGGAATACTAATGGAAGTATATTGACTTCTCCGAGTCTGTTGGAAGAGGGCGCAAGAACGTTTTGTCTAGCATTCTTTTTTTTTTATGGGGCATGTCTATACTAAAGCTGTCAACCGATGCCCATACAAATGTGTGGTGATCCACTATCGATATGAAATATGTGACTCTTATTCATGTGATAAGCATTCACATCTTGGACCATGCATTTCAGGTCAGAAAACGAACATGCGCAAATCATCTTTCTTAGTTGTCATCTGCTGTTCAGTGCAGCCATTCGTAATCGAGATTTTGATAATTAGTGGCTCATGACAGTGGGTCTCCAAGCTGCGTTTGGTAGGCTGCTGTTGCGTTCGGAGGAGCAGCACAGTTTGAGAAATGGGTCAAATGCAAACGGCATTGGAAGAATTAAGGTCCCTAGATAAAACAAGTTTTAGGGACTTTAGCAAGAAATGCACCGGAGCACCAGAAGTGGCGAAATTCACATTATGCGACTCGCGGGCTATACTGCATCTGCATCGTTTCGCTGGCGACCCAAGACGTCTTGGAGGCCTACACTAGTTTTCAATTTTTATGTCTCGAGACAACGCGAGCGAAGAGTCTATGAGCGTCTTGGGTTTCGCGCATGTGCCCTGGCCACTTGCAAATTTCTTGGGGTCCGAAGGTCCTTGAGGCCTCAATTCTAAATCTCTCTACAAATAATGCTTCCACAGTGGTTTCACGAAAGTACGCTAGCTTGCTTATGGAAGAGAATGAAGGGAATACATGCGCACAAGTGAGTCTCACTTATTTGGCTCAATAAGGGCACTGGGCGTAGTTGTCCGAATATGCTTCCAGCCCCACCGTGGTGGTCTAGTGGCTAAGGTACTCGGCTGCTGACCCACAGGTCACGGGTTCGGGTCCCGGCTGCGGCGGCTGCATTTCCGATGGAGGCGGAAAGGTTTCAGGCCCGCGTGCTAAGATTTGGGTGCACGTTGAAGAACCCCAGGTGGTCGAAATTTCCGGAACCCTCCTCTATGACCTCTCTCGTACTCATATGGTGGGTTTGGGACGTTAAACCCCACATTTCAATCACCAATAATCGAACATGCTTCCACTCCTTCGTGCCAATCTGCCGCAGGAACTTCGTGGAGAGCGAGTGGTGCCGATGGGAGTTCCGAGTGGCTCATCGGCGTGCACTGCAAGACAAGGTTAACCGGCTGATCGTCGTCTTGGTGGACGAGTGTGCATCTGGTTCGCTCGATGAAGATCTGAGGGCGTACGTTCGTGTTACAAACTACCTGCGCTGGAATGAAAAGAATTTGCGGGAGAGACTGCTTGCATCAATGCCCAGAAAGGACACCACGAGGAAGACCATTGTCGAGGAGAGGCACGTAGGATCCGCAGCAGGAGACAACGAAGGCGCACAGCCCTTGTAAACCACTTTTAAAGAGACCGCTTTGGTTCTAGTCTACGATGCCAGCGTACGATATCAGCGTACGGTGTTGTTACGCAGAATATAATAAATAATTTTATGTGAAACGTTGGTGTGTGTACGGGTGCGAGGAACTGGTAAGCGTGTAGGTGGATGTGTTGATGGATGTGTAGATGAACCCTATGTCTATGAATATGCAGAGAATTTGTGAAAAACACATAAACATGCTACCACTGCACCAAAAGACGCCGAGAGGGGATACAAAAGCAGGCATTCTTTGCGCGTCACGATGGTGCAATTCATGGTGCTAAAGGGGCATGCCGCCCAGCTACTTGGGGTAAAGTCCCTGAGTCGTGCTTTCTGAAGGCAGTCTCTAAGTGAAGGGTAATCGCCGCTTTGCGTGTAGAGGGCTGCCAATGGCAGAAACGAGGTGTTTTGGGGTAATTTCATCATGCACCAGTGGGGCGACTACCTCACCACATGTGGATGGAGAAAATAGATGTACTACACACCTAGCAATACACTGCTTCCCTGCAAACAAACAGTGTAAACATTTGATACCTAGCATTGACAGCCCAGAAGCCATGAAACCTATTTATGAACTGGTGCATAAAGTTTACTAGTTCAGTGAGTGTTGCGGCATATTAGAGGCGCAAACTACCGTTATAACTAGACAAAAACATTTTCAGTGAAATGACGAATTATTGGGCTAGTTGGCATCTTATGTTAACTTATTATCCAGTCGTATCTACCTTATTATCCAGCCTTAAAACTATCAGCGTCTTAACGACGTAAAAGTCAAGGCAAAGTGATCCCGAGCGGAGGCCTCAGCGATGGAGTGCGGACTGACGCAGAGCAGATAAATGCGGTATCAGCTAAATTTAAAAGAGATGAGCAATTCCATTCTCCATCTCACAATTTTTCGAGAAACGCTGACGTAATAGCAACGCCATACCTTCTTTGTTCGACGTGGCTGGACATTGGCTCTCATTGGCCCAGCTTCGCCCCACCACAGACAGAACCACTCCTCCCCGTTCGCCCCTGTCCTCCTCTTCACTGGATCACCTGCACTTCTCGCTCCTCGTCCGCCTCTCTTTCTCTCTGTCTATCTCTCTTTCTCTCTTTCTCTCGTCTCTCGCCTGAACATCTAAAAGCTTAGCTGTGATTAAACCTCTCGCACCTGCTCTTCATCAGTTCGAGTTCACCCGCTGTGCTACATTAGGCTTCACTCTCACCTATCAATATATATCAATCAATCAATCAATCAATTAATCAATCAATTTTTATTTCCAACAAACCTTTTTCGAGCAAGTTGGGGATGCCTCGGGCGAAAAGTGGTTCTATGACTTACCTACATCAATGTTGGAAACAGCGGTGAAAAAATTATTTATGCTGCCATAAACACGAGCAGGAAGTCGCGCCGACAGACATCATATTTCGCGACAGAAATGTAGCACCACACCACGCAAAATGCTTAATGATCATGAGTGGTCGGAAGCTCCCAGCTCATGGCAAAGGACTCAGCTATTGCTTTTCATCATCATCAACACCATTATCACAATCATCATGATCGCTTCCCAACTATATCAGCATTAGGCGGCCGAGTATAATTTATAAGAACCGAAGACGCATCGCGTTGTTAGGAAAACAGGACAGAAGTACTGCCCCACATAGGTCTTAATATTGGATCTTTTTGGGACTTCATTATGCTCTCGGCTAACGTTCCTTGAGGTATGTTTTTGTTATCAATTATAAACACACTTATTGATAATAACAATTATGTTCTTGAGTATGTGTAGAACGCGCACTTTTCTACTCTCTAAGTATTCCGACAATAGTATACTTAAAGTGAATAGTGCTCAGAACACTAAAAACGACTATGTGACGCCAGTGGCTTTTTTTTTCATCATACAGTCAACTGACACATCATGTAACAAATTCGGAAGATTATCTTCAGCGCGAGAGTCGCTAAAATCCACGTTCTGTGAGAAATATCTGGAGAAATATTCACTTAAAACGAAATTTCTGAAGCCCTTCCCAATGGTGTCTCTCTTGTCTTGTCGCCTAGGAGATCTTGGCTCATACCCACAAGGGGGATTGGCCACACTGTACCTTATAATGGATATTTTTTGTACAAGGCTTGCTAAAAAAGAGAGAAATTAGATAAGAACAATAATAATGTTCCTTTATAAAAACGTGAAAAAGTGCTAAAGAAGTCCATAAACCAGAATATATAAAACAAATTAGCAAAAATGAAAAAGGGAGACAAAGAATTGGATATATCTGTCAGTACCACTAGCAGCGTATCCTTTCGGTTGCCTGAACGAATTTATGTAGCGCTGACAGAATAGCACTACGGCCCGCGCCCATCTGACTGGCTCCAAACGATAATAGGGTGGCTGTACTAACTGGCACTCCGAGCATACCAATCGGTCTCTCAAGAATTATTTGGCGCAGTGAGGCGAAGCGGCGGCAAGTTAGAAGAAAGTGATCTATTGTTTCCGGTCCATTGCAAACTGCACATAGGTTAGTTAATGAAAATCCTGATGTGTGCAGATAAAAATTTAACCGAAGAACTCTACAGCGAAAGCTTGTGAGGGTCACCTCAGATTGACGGGAAATACATTTTGCGATGTTCCATGTGAATTGCAAGGTCCGAAATTCTTCAGATTGTAGGAATGATGTTTCGTTGATTTTTAAGATTAACAGACGTTGGAATCATTCGGGAGTAATAAAAGGAAACTGTGGAACTATTAGCACCACCAGGAAATTTAAAGATGCTGAAACGAGCGAATCAGCAATTTAATTTAGTATAATTCCAGCATGCCCGGGGACCCAAATAAACCGAACTTCTGATAGGCTATGTGGTACGAGACCGAAATTTCCTGAGAAGAGGAGACTGCTTTGCGGAAGTTAGATGTGTACATACAGACAAAGCATCCGAAATAATAATAGCTTTTGATTGCTGAGAATTTAGTTTTCCAAGAGCCAATGTAGTAGCTAGGAATTCTGCGAGATAAATTGGTGTGAAGTCAGGCAATAGAAGCACAGAAGACCAATCAATCTGATGAGAAAAAATACCTACTCCAGCCTTCTGAAGATTTTGCTCCGACGAAATTACTATGTAATCGGGAAAATGACTGAGATGGTCTTGAAGGAGGCCCTCCAGAACATGCTTTGGAAGTAACTTGGCATTTTTTGGGAAAATGTCATCGAAAATTTAGTCAACTGGCTCCGAACATAGGGCTTGGGGAGTTAAATGCTGGAGGGAAACATAAGATTTGATAACAGATACTAGACGAAAATGACTTGGGGTCTTTGATAACGACACCACGGGCGCTTAAAAAAAGAAACTGGTGGGAGTGGAAAGTGGCTGCTCTCTCTAGTCACCTATGAGGGGGGAGGGGGTGCTAAGTCATCGCCATACACTGACATAATAGGGAGGGGTGCTGCGACTTGTGAGGGGGGCGCAAAGTGAGCCCCATAAATTGACGTAAGAGGTGAGAGGGCGCTGCAACGAATTCTCCCCTCTCCCCGAAGACAAACCCTGCGCACACGCCTATGCATGTGAATGTGAACGATGACCTCCTGAAGGCCACTATGCATGAGCCTTCACCTCGGTGACTTATATTCATATAAGATATAACATTAGTATGCTAGCCCTCCTGCACTACTGTGGATGCCTTGCCAGTTAGTTGCCAGTGAAATAAGTGTTACAGTGGCTGAATG